TTATTACTTATTAGGCTGGTGCCAAAGCGGATTTTGAGGGCTAGAAAATAAATTGTAACAGACAAGGACCAGTGGGAAAATTTAATTTGGGTTATAAGTAATGGAAAGACCAAAAATTAAACTCGATAAAGGGAAATTGTCAAATGAGGATGGTGTTAAAAGATTGATAATGAATTTTTGCGTGAGAAAAAATAAAAACGGAGAAATCGGTTTTCCGCGATTTCCTCTTAAAATTTGAGGTTATGTTGAAAAATATTGTGTATAAGTTTTTCATTTTTTTATTATCTACAACTTTTGTGTAGAAAATCGCAAAAATTCATTTTCAACCCCTAAACACCACCTCCATTTCATAATTTCCCTTTATCACGAGTTCAATTATTTTTTTTTCTATTAATTATAACCCAAACTAAATTTTCCCACTGGCCCTTGCCTGTATTTTTTTTTTCAATAAGGTATTGGCACTATCCTAAATCCATTAGGTGTTTTTACTATACAGGATGTCCCATAATTAGTGTCCAATAATTTACCACTTGATTCTATTGCCAAAAATAAGAATATTTTTTCATATAAACATGGGTCGACAAATGCTGTTAAAAGGGAGTTAGGCCCCCTAAATGGGGCCTCAAAACATTCATTTTTTTTTAAATATTTCCGAAATGGCTTGAAGGAAAATTATGAATTTTGACTGGTGAACGCTTATTAAACGTCGAAATAGATCATAACATTTTTCAAATATTTTAGTCAGGAGCGTCTCAATTGGGGGGGGGGGGGTCGTCGGCTAAAATTTGCCACTATTCTTTTGTTTGCCCAAATTTTCAAATTCAGATCAAAACAACATCACCATTTTTTCATAGAAAACTCAGATCAATCAAATTTTATAGCAACAAATGCATGCAAAAATTTGAACCGATTCTCCCCCTCCTCTTGNAACCAGCTACATTAAGTTTTTCATTGTACTATTATTTTAAGAAAGCTGTTTAGTTATTTGGTTTAAATAATATTCTAGTATTTATCTTTTGAGCATAATTCAGAAATTATATTTATATATTTTATTCTAGAGAATATGTGTCATTTACTGCATTAATAAAAATCCTTAAATTTATTTAATGTTATTTTCCCTTCACTTAAGTACGTCGTAACCTGTCTTGGAAAAATATTTAAGTATATAAAAAAATATATTCTTTTTCTTAAAAATACTATGTAGTTTTCCTGTTTCTTAGAAAAATTTACATTTTGCGTGAATTAGACAAAAAGTGTAAAATTGCATGCTTAAGGTAACTTTACCTATATGATGTAATTTTGACCCACTCGTCAAAGTAACTAATGATCTGGTGTGTAATTTTACATAAATTTTTTATCAATTTAGAACACATAGCCAAATATTATTCTGTTTCATTTTAAACACATCGTATGTAGGACATTCGTCTTAAAGTTTTTATTCTACCATTTATGCTTTTTATCTCACATTTATGTTTGTCCTACACAGACTGTATAGATTAACAACTATTTCCCTGGAGCCGAAAAAAATAAATGTTTATAATAAATACTTTATTTGCAAAGGATCATTACAAAATAAGATACAATAACCATTTCAGTCAAGTTTACAACACTTAACCGAATAAATAATGCTTACTTTTACATTGCATCATAATAATTGTAGCATAAAATATCGATGCCGTTTAGTAAGTACTTTAATTTTTCGTTAGGAGTTAGTTGTAAAGTGTTAAAAATAAACTAATTACAATCTATTTTTATATGATATATAATGATATAATATATTTAAATATATTTTATAATATGTCTTACATATTTCAATAAACACTGCCCTTAGAACGGAGCATTTAATATATACAGGGTGCTACAAAAAAGTGGGTCAAGATGTTAATCACAAATGCGTTCGGCTATAATAACAACGGTCTTTTTTTATACACATTTTATTTAGATATCTCATTTTCAAGATACAGAGTGACGAATAAACAATTTAAAAAAAGGTTTTATTAGTTATTCAATTGCTTTCTGCTCAAGAGTTTTATTTTATGCCTACACATTATTTTGTATAATTTTGAAGGAGCAAAACGATTATTTAAGTTGAACACAAAAATAAACTACAGAACAACAAATTTTCGCGCTTATGGTTCTCTGTAATATTGATTTATTGGGTGATATCAAGAATGTTCATTGATTCACAATGCTTAGGCCTTCAGTATAGCAAAACTGACAGATAGCAACCTGTTATTTCGCAGGTACTGTGAAAGCAGGACCTTTGTGTATGACGATATCACGAAAAACAATTACTCAGCTGAATAACTCACCAACCAGAATTGAATTATACTCGCAGTAAAGAGATCATCCGTTAGCAGAACCACCAGACATACAGGGTGTTTATTAAGTACTTGTGCAAGCTTTAAAGGGTAAAATCTTTAACTAATTTTAAGATAAAAAGTTCATATGAACATAGGTCCGCAACGGCTTGGTTCTTCAGATACAGTGTCCAAAAAATTTTTTGTTTGGCATTTTGATTATATTTTTGTTCAGTAACATGTCAATTTGAGGAAACTGGGAGTATTAATGATGAGGAACTCAAATATTTACTTAGTTTTTTTGGTTAATGTTGGAGGGCGTCACATACAGTGCTGTACCTGAATTTAAATAACCATAACTTTTTTGTGTTGCACTGTATGTCAATTTTGACTGAACATTCCATTCAATTCCATTCAACTTTACGTCCAAAAGGTACTCTTGGTATTTGTCGCTGAAAGAAGCCATTTTGTAAAAAACGAGTTTAAACTTCAACCTGCGTTGGAATTTTGTAAGTTAAATCATTAAGAGTTTTTGAAAAACAAGTGAGAAAATATGTCTTTTATTGATTGTATTGCGATATGACAAACTTATATCATTTACAAGACTAAGACTAAACTACTTTTACAAAAGAGATAATAACAATTACAATAATTTTTGAAACAATTTTTTTGGACATCATATCTTAAGAACCAAGCCGTTGCAGACCCATATTCATATGAACTTTTTACCTTACAATTAGTCTAAGATTCACCTGTTAAAATTTGTATAAGTACTTCATAAACGCCCTGAATATCATTTCCGAACTCATTAGTTATTAATAGGTTCAACATTTAGTTATATTTCACCGATACTCAGTTTATGTGTAGTTAACTCAACAAAAATAACTGGATCTTTTGTCGGTTATCTCACCTATGGTACGTTGATGAGAAGTAATAAGTTCAAAACCTTTATATGGTGAGGGTATTAGTTCGCGGGGTAGTTGTTTCCTGCATATNCAGAACCACCAGACATACAGGGTGTTTATTAAGTACTTGTGCAAGCTTTAAAGGGTAAAATCTTTAACTAATTTTAAGATAAAAAGTTCATATGAACATAGGTCCGCAACGGCTTGGTTCTTCAGATACAGTGTCCAAAAAATTTTTTTTTTGGCATTTTGATTATATTTTTGTTCAGTAACATGTCAATTTGAGGAAACTGGGAGTATTAATGATGAGGAACTCAAATATTTACTTAGTTTTTTTGGTTAATGTTGGAGGGCGTCACATACAGTGCTGTACCTGAATTTAAATAACCATAACTTTTTTGTGTTGCACTGTATGTCAATTTTGACTGAACATTCCATTCAATTCCATTCAACTTTACGTCCAAAAGGTACTCTTGGTATTTGTCGCTGAAAGAAGCTATTTTGTAAAAAACGGGTTTAAACTTCAACCTGCGTTGGAATTTTGTAAGTTAAATCATTAAGAGTTTTTGTCTTAATTGTTAATTCATATGAACTTTTTACCTTACAATTAGTCTAAGATTCACCTGTTAAAATTTGTATAAATACTTCATAAACGCCCTGAATATCATTTCCGAACTCATTAGTTATTAATAGGTTCAACATTTAGTTATATTTCACCGATACTCAGTTTATGTGTAGTTAACTCAACAAAAATAACTGGATCTTTTGTCGGTTATCTCACCTATGGTACGTTGATGAGAAGTAATAAGTTCAAAACCTTTATATGGTGAGGGTATTAGTTCGCGGGGTAGTTGTTTCCTGCATATAATCACTTAAAAATTAATTTCTTGTTTGATTTATGTTCTGATAATATTATTTTCTAATATTAGAAATGCCTAGAATGTTTAGCCACAACCTTGCCCATAGTCACTATTCCGAAGTACGCAAAATTTGTTATGTTTTAGATGTAGCGTAAATAAAAACATATCTAAAAAAGTTACAATATCTTGTTAACCAAGCACCTCACAGGGAAAAGTTAAGAGTCCATAGGTACCACAAGTCTTCTCTGTATTGTGCTTCAATTATTTTAACCAAAATTTCACAAAAAAAATGTGTGTTGGCATTATTCTGTACAAAATTTTTAATTGTATCTCTTAAGAAACACCACAATTATTAACAAAAATATTTCCATTTTAATTTAAGCTTTGACTCTGTATCTTGGGGAAAATGCACAATTTAAAAGGTGGCATTAGAAGCATTCTATTATTTCCGCCTAAAGTATGTGGTTAACGGCTTGAAAAACTCTCTTGTACCACCCATTAGCTTCAAAAAGTGTTAAAACCCAAACTGCATTTGAACAGAATGTTAACGTAGTCGTGTAACAATAAATTTTAGGAAACGTTAAAAAGTTATACAAAAATTCACAACACCGAATAGATAAAAAAATTTCGATAGACAAATATAAAACTAACAACAACTCTGAAATTCTTCGTTAAGACATGGTGCGAGCGACCATTAATAATATTAGATGATGATGATTAAATACGCCTGAAAAAGTTTCAACTGATCACCCTAATCAATTCCATCTATAGAGCTTCGTCTTGCTACTGCTCGTGGGGTTTGCTTTGCAGGCCTTCTCTCGTGGTTTCCCCTAAGTGACGTCGCCCGGATTCCTGTATCCGGCCAAGGGGCCGCTGGAATTCCTCGTCAGAGTGAATCTGGCGTGCCGTGCCCCGCCTGGGGCAAGCAGCAACCCTCACGTCCTAACGAACTTGTAAACAACCGCGAACACTAAGACACTGACTAGAACTAGTACGAGAGCTGTGACAACTTTAGCGAAAGCATTCAAGCCGCTCTCCGATGGATCTAGTGGCCTGCTGCTGCTGTGCTGCTGCGACCTTCTCCTTTTCCCCGCCAAACCTCTGGCCAGCGCGGGGAAGGCCAAGCTTTGCGTGAACGTCAGTTTGTGCAAACTTTCACTGAGTGAGTACGGGCCTACGCTGCCCCTGGCAGCTGCGCGTAGTAAAGCGTATTCCAGGTCTAGAGCGTCGAAGAGAGAGTATCTCGCTGTCATCGTCGACGATCTCCGTCTGCTGTCGGAAGAGTCGCTAGCTCGGGAGTTGCTGGCGGCTACTGCGGCGGCGACTGAGGTTAGCGACGACGTGGTTGAAGATGAAGGCGAAGCTAGTTGATTGTTGTTGTTGCTCTGCGTCTCGGATACGTCTTCCATGGAACTTTGGACAGGTGAAGATATGGGGTATAGTCGCAGAAGTCTGGCGTGGTCGGGATGTAGTAGTGCGCTGCTCGGTCTTCGCAGACTTGGGGTAGGCGATTGTACTGGTGATGTTGAGGCACCGGCCGTAGATGGTAACGGAGACACCTGATAACATAAAATGTCGTCAATGAAACATGTTCGCTGTGACGGAAAATATCTTATTCTAACTAGATAATTGTTATTAATATCTTTAAATATATTTGAAATACGGAGGGTATTAATCTGGAAGTCATTATGAATGCAATACGTATATAAGCTATAAAATATGTCATACCTTAATTGTTACTACTACCAAATGCCTATAGGAACAAAGTACTACTTTGTATCTACTAGCAAAGAGCGACGTAGTAACATGTAGGTATCTATTATGAAAATATGACCATTATGTACATAATGATATTGTGGGATGCAGCTACTCTACGACATTGGAATTATATCTGTAATATCTAGTAAACAGTTAAGTTCATTCGCCAGCAGAACCGCCAGACTAACCTGGTCTAGAGCTTATTATTATTATTATTATTATTATTATTGGTTATCACCAATAGGTGGGTGACAATTTACATATTACATATACTTTACATCTTCCCCAGATCCCAGATCCACAACATATTGGCATATAGACATCCAAATAGCTAAATCATTCGTTGGTCGTCACCAATGGCATATTAATGTGAACTATCTTTGAAAACCGGTCTATATCTGGTGATTATATATGCTGTCCAATGATCTTAGCTCTTTATTTGATATTGCGGGTGTAATTCAATGCTAGACGGAGCTGTAGTCTGCAGAGTAGATTTTACTATCATTAGTTAAAAAAAACACTATTATGTTACTACCACATGAGCGCTCTGCTAACTGCATTTTCTGCTTGATCGCTAGCTGTGTCAAAAGTAGGTAACATTGTTTTAAATGGACGCCATAGCGGCACGATAATTTATTAGAAACGGTCGTTAAATTGAATCGAATTGACGTTCTATCGTTTGAAATTGCAGATCTAAAATTATCCACCATTCGATAAAATAACTAAATTCGTATATTGTAAACAGACAAATTTGGCTTTCGGATAATCACCGATGACGAGAGCTATGTTGTGCTAGTCCAACGAACACAATGTTTAATAAGAGAATTTTAATTATATGAAAAAGCAAATGTACTGAAAAATATGTAGATAATTATGCCGTTAATGGAAAATGTATTTGGAGATAAAGAAGCATCCATGTAGGTATAACAAAATCAAAATTAGGATAGGTAAGATAACACCTGGGAAATAATAAATTTAAACGAAAGATTTTACAAAGTGAAAACTTTACATATATTTAGTGATCAACGGATATTTGAAGGAAAGATAGCAGCTTTATACGGTCCTACTGTTACATCCTTTTTGATGGGTATTTTTGTATTTGTGAAAAATTTTTAAAATGAATAAAAAAGCCCCTTACGCCAAAAGGATTAGTTAAGGGTTATTTCTGTGAAAATAGTTTTGTCTAAGCAAAAGTCTCGCATCGAAAAGGGCACATCACTGTACATCGCGCACTTTAAAAAGTTGTCAATATTTGAAAAATCATCTGTGTTCGTCTTCTGAACTTAAAATTATTTTTAATTTTTAATTATTTTTTACAGTTTATATATTAATTTTTTTATTTCTCAAATTTTTGTCAATGTGCAATCACGCTTCGGAAAAGTGAAATATAATTCTAAATTTTAGAGAACGAAAATAATACCTTTAAAAGAATCTTAAAAGAGACAGTGATTATTTTGTTGAACGGTGAAAGATGTGTTTTAAATTATTCTGTGGTCTTGAATCTTTGTTGACTATAAATTGTAATAGATTAAGTAAATAATAGAATAAATATCATGGGATTGACGTAGACTATCAAAAACAATTAAAAACGAAAATTCGTTTTTTTCCTTTTGATTATTCTTATTTTAAACTTTTCACACATTATTAACACACTTCGTTTATTAGCTCGGTCGGATAATCATAGCCGTCATAGCCGTCGCGTCGCTACAGCGCACCGTACGAAACCGGTAATAACGGAAGTTATTGGCTTCGCGTCTGCTTCGTATAAAGTGTTTTAATATTCTAATAACGTTGAACGATTAATTTATTTTCATTTATACTTGTTTACTTATTTGTTTACGATGAACACGCCTTTGACTAGCCGAGCTTTATAGATTAATGTAATCAGTTTTAAACGTCTATACCTAGTATAAAATAATTATGATCGATTGCCTTCTACATGTTAACAGTGTAATCAACTTTTGTCATGTTGTTCATCATATTAAACACAGCAATATTCATTGTTAATATTAATTAATGTGAATTACATTTATAAATTACTTTTAATAATTTAGTAGGTAATAAGGTAATATTTTTTGTATTGTAAAAATATCCCCTTATTTTCCCTTTTTAAAGAGAGAGACATAGAAAGAATCGATTCAACGTAGCAAACAATATCAATTTTTTTTTAATACATTTGTAAACAGGTTCGATGGGCAGTCATATGCATAATCTTTACATTATACTTATTCCAAATAAAATGTTAAAGCTAAGATGTCATCCCATTTTGTATTTTTCGATTAAATTTTTCAGAAAATTTAATGAACATAAGATTTTATTCGTTTCAGTACTTTGTTATTTACTAGCATGACACACATTTGAACTTTTTTGTCTAAAACTGAGATTAAAATATATTATTCTTACTTTTACTCGACATATTGCATTAAATTCAAGGGGAGACAACTGCTAAACAACTTACGCATTAGTTGATATGATTGTAATACAGAAATATACTTTTCCTAAGTTTGGTCTCCAAGTTTCTTGTGGCGCAAAGTTCAAGTACTAAATTATGTTTATCTGAAAGTGTTTCTTGTATGTGTTACGGCAAATTTGCATAAATTATTTGACTTTCGTGACTGACTACCAGGCATCGTATTCTAGCGGACGTTATTAATGGAATAATATTGCAAATTCAATATATAAGTGGTTCGACATGAAATTTGTAAATACATGTTAATCCACTTTATTCTCTGTTAATTTATTTGCATCGAATTATGTCACAATGAGAATAAAGTTAAATTAAAATAAAGACATAGGAAGAAAAATTTATTTAAAAGAAGCATGAACAAAATAGTAATGTGTATTATTGTCAAATATGAGCAAACTGAAGAAGAATTTGTGATAAAATAGAAGATGAAGAAGAAAGACGAAGAAAAATTGTAAATAATTTAATGTTTCTATTTTTGTCACGGATTGAAGAATTAAGTTCAATGTTTTTATTATAATTAGGTTTAAGTATTTCTCAGTTACAGTCGTCTTCATTTAGTGGGTTACAAGCTACTTTGATAGTAACTATTATTTGAAACTATACTACAATGAATATATTTTACCAAATTACGTAATATGAAGCACTTACATTTAGTAATGTAATATTTACTGTAAGAAATACTTTATTAATTGTCTTTTGCAATTTAATAAACGAGACTGATTTATCTGTAAAACATAAAAATATTTATAGCAGTTTAAAAACAGCCTGTATGAATTAAAACTAGTTTTGGTAGATCCCAATTTACTCCAATTTTCTGTACATGTATACAGGGTGTCCCGGTACTTGATACAAAAAATTTGAGTACAAGTAGATGAGGTCAAAATAATATTAGTTCTTCATATAATTTTTTTTCATACGGACCTTCGTTAACAAGTTACAAAAGTGAAAATTAAAAAGTTATTTTTTTTACAGTCTCTAAACTATTAACTTTAGCATGATGCAAATTTGGTGAACAAATAACACATCCATATAGCTTGATTTTAATGTTCTAAGTGAAACTTCAATATGCTGAGAACGCCAGGGACGGACTATGCCCAATGGTTAACAACCCAGAATTTTTGCATAGATGACGATCGTAATTTGCCTGTATCAAAAATAAGTTCCCTGAAGAATTTGCCAACGAAAATACCTTCTTGGTTCAACTCGTTAAAATTAACTGTTTAAGAAATATTTATTTAAATTTTTTGTTTTTAATTTTTAATTGGACATAATTATTTACTATGATAGAACCGTGCATATTTTTAAAATAAGAGTCTACTACCATCTCTACTACTAAAAAGGGTACTAAATTATGCTTTCCAAGGAAAATTTGTATTATCGTTTTGTCTTAGATACAAATAGATCTTATAAATATCAACAAAATATAGACAAATAAAATATTACTTTAAATCATTTGAATAAGAAAATATTTATTATAATAGGTATAAGACTCTACTATTTTCATCCAACTTGTAAAAAAATATAATTTAAAAGCTCCAAACATTTTAACTGATATGTAGGTACCTTGATTTTTAGGTAGCTGATAGATGTATTTATATATCTTAAAAGGAATACAGTACGAAATTGTATGAATAAATTAATTAACCACACATTAACGCAAGAAAATTTGTTATAAAGTTAAGAGAAAAGGACCTGGTACTCATATCAGTGCAAAAAATCAAATTGTACCAAATATTCCACTTAACTTTGGACTTTTTGTGTGTAAAACAAACCTGATTCGAGTCAATCCCAGAATCATGGTGGTGGTTATTATCCAGGCATGTGGAGCTCTGTGACGTAGCGTCCTCGGCACATGTCGGAAAAACGAAGCTCTGTCCGTCTGCTTCACCTCTTGGAGAATCCGAACTGGGCCACACCTAAAGCAAAAAGTCTTATTTAGAAAATTTAAGTGAAGCATTTTCTTATCTAAAAGCTACAAAAATACATACATCACACCACAGGATATGTAAAAGACTTTTCTGTGTACTTTTATAAGAGACTAATTTATATATTTTGTTACATTACAACTACTACTGTCAAAAACGAAATAAGATTTAAATTGGACTTTTTCACTGCCATTCTCGAAAATTTCGTGTCACAAATTAACTTCACATGCCTAGAGGGGAAAAGCCTCTAGTTGAAAGTGAGTAAAAGCACATTAATTCCAATGTCATCACAAGAAGCACGGAATAGTAATGAGGTAATTTCATAAAACTGCCAGAACATTCCACTTAAAACCGAAGGAGACATCTAAGGAATGGTAAGAAGCAAGAATCCATACAAGAAACTGGAGTAGAAGGCAAATGAAATTATGTTTGAGCAGCGCGATGGTTATTTTGAAAAGAAATAGAAGTACGATATCTGAAAAGAAGAAACCAAAAGATAAAGGCAAAAACAACAAGAATAATAACAGGGGGCATATGGAAATATATGGATTGAACACAAAAGCTTCAGAAAAATCGAAGACAAGAGAACGGCAACACATTCAGCAGTCTTGAAGAACTGAAGGCAAGAGAACAAGTCTTTGTTGGGGAAAACCCAGATGGCACATTGTCCTAATGTATTCGATGCAATTGACATCTGTTTACCAATGAAAACTAAAACGCAACGCAATTTCAAATCTAGTGATACTGCCTGATATTGTCAGTATGAGAGAAAAATTAAATTTCATAAGAGACGTGCATTGTCAGCATTCAACCTCCATGTCCAGAGAAACCTTCAATTCCTATCGCAATCAGTATCGCCTTGAATTATCTAAAGCCAAAAAAAGCGCCAATGACAACTATGTAAATACATCTACTAATAAACAAACCGCAATGTGGAACCTCATAAAAAATAAAAATGACCGCAGTTCACCTGTAAGCGATTGATTAAACGCTAATGCTATTGTATTAGCTCCAACGTATTTCCTACAACTTTCAAGTTATCCAAGGTTATTCTTGTTTTTAAGAAGGTTCACACCTAACAGAAATAGTTCAAGGCTCAGTATTGGGCCCTATACTATTTCTTATCTATAATAACTTAACTAAACTCACAGAGGATCAAATGGATACGCTTCCTCGAAACTCAATCTTTGCTTTTTACGCTTCGCCATATCAATACTTGCAATAACTCAAATAGTATTAAATTTCTTAAAGTTGACCTTGACATTAAATTGAGTTTGGAAAAATATGTCAATGATTTATCCGCACGTTTATCTAGGAATATTTTCCTACTGCGTAATTTGGATCGTATCGACTTATGCAATTTTGAACTGGGGTCATTCGTCTCACAGTTATAACATTTTTGGTTTACAACGTAAATGTATTAGAATAAAATACAGAGATGATTGTCGGGAGCTATACAAACTGCTAAATATTCTTACAATGCAGTCGGTTTACATACTTGAGTGCCTCATTCATATAAAAAATAACCAGAATGATTTGTTCGATAAGAAAATTTTCATTTTCACCATACAAGAGAGACAATATTAGGTCAAAATTTCATAGACTAACGAAATTCAGAGATGGCACAAATTATTTTGATGAGATTCGATCACTAAATTCAGACTGTTTTAAGGCCAGAATTAGAAAATATCTTAAGAGAAAAGCGTTTTACAATTTTGTTGAGTTTTTTGCTTATCAGTTTTTAGATATACATATAATGAATGTTCGTAATATTTACTTTTTTATGCTGTTTACGTTATATGTATCCAACAATGAATATGTTTTTTAGCTTTAGTGTAGTATTGCTTATGTTGTATCTTTCGTGTTTTTCTTTCTTTGACTTGTGTAAACATTTTAATGTATCGACACCAATAAATGATTTGATTTGATTTGGAATACAATATTTAAGGACTCACTTTCCAATTAAAATCTGAAATTTCTAGAATCAACACAATCTGCTGGTTATACCTTTACAATAATCACTAATTAATTCAAGTTTAATACATTTTTATTTAAAAATAAGCACTGCCATCTATTTAATGCAGATAGTTCCACATGAGTGTTATAAGTTCATGAAGGTTAATGCCTTCATCTGTTGGCTGCAATCCGCTTTCAACAGCACCATCTATTGATCACAGTATTTGACTGCCTAATTATATATAGGATGTAACGCTACTCCATTTACGATAAGTTTTCCATGACGCCACAGTGCGAAACGGTACAGTGTTGCCAAATCGTAATTTTTTTCAGGATATTTAAGAAAATTTATTTTTGATAGCGAATTCCAGTTTATTAGAAATGTAACGTAGAATCACAAATTATGTAGTCCATTTAAATAATTTAGGAAACCTTAATTTTCATTTAGAATTGTATAATATGATTCGCAGATATTTTTGACAAGTTTACATATTGTAAATAATAATATTTAAAATAAGGTTCATAATTGGTGCAACAGTTACAATTTAAGTTTCTAACAACGGTAACTGGAAGCAATGACCCTCCATTTCAGGTTCCTGTTCCAAATAGTCTATTAAGAACCCCGTCATTTCTGGAGCACGCTCGATAAATGTTTACGCATGTTAATGCTTTGCACTACGCACCGATAATTTATTAGTTCTAAAAATAATTTTTTATATCCTTTCAATCGTTTCCAATATACAAAAATCCCACAGAAAGTGTTAATTCGGCGCATCGTTAACGTTGCAAAGTGTAGTAAACTTAAAACATTAAAATTTACTAGATTGACGAGAATTAATGCGATACAGGACATGAATTAAGGGTTATTCCATCGGCTTACTATATGGTGGCGGTTACATTAAATGCAAATTCATATGAACATATCTTGATACCAAATCATAGAAACCCATTCCGTTGTATTAAGAGTTCGTTTTTTATTTTGTTGTCAAACATTGAATAAAGCAGAATCGATGCAATTTGTTTAATATTGTAATATTACTTACATTTCTTGGGAAATGTTTGAGTTTTAGTTTACATAAAAATTAATTTCTTGGTACAATCTACTAAAAAATACCAAGGAACAATCTAAATCATTTCGTATTAAATCATTAGATATTAATGAATATACTTTTCCCTGCAGAAAAACAAACAAAGGTGGAATTTTCACAACGGTAATAGTTACACAATGTATTCTAAGCTTAATTATAATTGTAGCCATTTGCGCTTCCGTAATTTTAAAATTGGTTACGTAAATTGCAGAGGATATCAAATGGTTCTGTTTTCCCTGTTGTAGCAACGTAATATCTTTAGCAGTACACAAACGCAGTGCATTAATAGTATTACATAATACAAGGCCCGCATTAATATTTGCAAACACAAACGCAGATACGTTTCTAAAAGATTACTGTTTGTGGCAATATGTAGGTATTTTACTTTATTTTTATGTGTATTTTACTTGTGTTTAATTTTTAATTCAAAATGAATTTTTCTAAAATACGCATGCCTGGTATTAAAATTAAAACCAACATGATTTGTTTGACATATGTTTTATGCAGATCCTGTATCTAAATGTTTCTCACAGAATATCTGCTTGTATTTATGTGACAAGCTGCTTTAGTTTTTGATTGTGCACACCTAGTATTGTATTGTATGCCAAAAATTGACTAATGAATTTCCAACCACAACTAATCAGTAATCGATTGGGTCAGTAATTAATATACACTCCAAACGTGATATAATAATATACAGTGTGTCCCAAAATAATGGAACAAAATTCATTTTTTTTCCAGTTGAAATTTAAAAAAAATAGCTGAAACAGGTCAACTAGTAAATAGAAATTGTAACTTTTCTGCAATATTTTCAGTTTTTTTGAGCCATGTTTTTTAGATAACCCTACAAAAAAAATCCAGTGGAGTTAAGTCAGGGGGGCGTGGTGGCCATCAAGCGGCTGCACCGATTTGGGAAAACTTCATTAAGGTAATTTTTTCAGTCGAGGCGAATATGTGGAGGGGCACCATCTTATTGGAACCAGACATCACCAGCAGGCGTATCGCGCTCATTAGGGTTAGGAAAAATTAATTAATTAAGAATCCAAATAAATCTCGCCTGTCAAATTGCGCTCAAAGAAATAAGGCCAGTATGCGATTTCCTACTATTCCAGCCGAAACATTCACTTTTTCCGGCCATTTCTGTTGCATTGAATGCGGATATTCTGGGCTCCAAAATCTAGTATTTTGCCTGTTCACGGTTCCGTTTAAGCAAAAAGTTGCTTCGTCAGTGAAAATTATGATTGTCTTTCAAATACATTTTTCATTTCCTCGCAAAACTGTAATCTTCTGTCTGTCATCTGCCCATAGTTCTTGTAAGCCGTTAGCTTTGTAAGGATGGCACTTTTGAAAATTTTAGAGTTCCGTGAACTGAGGTCTTCGACAAGTTGAAGTTGGCTGAGATAGATCTAATGGATGAGTGAGGGTTTTCAGTAACGGCGAGTATCACATTTTGACGGTAATTTTCGCTTACCGTTCTTCGCCCTCTTGATCCAGGTAAATCTTTTATACTTCCGGTTTCTTCAAACTTTTTTGATACTTATTGTAGCTCGACTGATTCTCTGGCCTGGATACTTATGATGAAGTAAGTCACATACTATGGATTTTGTCTCCGCATCTAATCAAAATTAAAACTTCAGTTCTCTGTTTTTTCGCTTAAACGGGCAACCATTTTCAAAATAATTTAACAACGAATGAATTGGAACTAAAACGATTCACGTTATACCTAAGGTACTCTGCTGAATTTTATGTGTATATCGATGTGTTTTTTTTTAAGAAAAAAAAGGTTTAAAGTAAATGAAAAAATATTAATAAAGAGTATGTACGTTTTTTAAAGTACAGAAGAGACTACGATTGTTTGAAATAGTCGTCAGTATGACATAAAAGACAATTTTTTACATTTTCTTGACAACTATGACAAAAAAGTCGTTATAATCTTATATCGCTGAATTTTTCTTTAGGCT